CCTGTCACCTGGGTTTTTAAGTGCCCTGTCTTCCTAAGGAGCTGGCCTTTCATCCTGTTTCTTATAGAATGCATGTCTCTGAGACTCTGAAGGCAAGAGACCCAGGTTCAAATCTCAGCTCCCATACTTACTAGCTGAGTGAACTTGGGCAGCTGTCTTTGCCTTTTTTGGATCTCAGTTTCCTCCTGTGTGAACTGAGGCCAACAATAGGGCTCCCTTGATGGGTTGGGAGAGACTAAGTATGGAGAAGCAGGTAGAGGGTGTGGCCCAGAGTGTGGCATGTGGTTCTGCCCACAGCTGTGGCCTGGCCCAACAGAGTCAGGCTGAGCACCATCCCTACCACACATCTCTTTGTGAAGAGAGGCCCTGGAGCCCACTTCCACAGTGGGGGAACTGCACAGCCTGCCAGAAGCCCCAGAAAGTTAAGACATGCCTAAAGGAGAGACACAAGGCTTGAGGAGAGGCCCTTGGCAGGAGGGGATGGCTTGGACAAAGGCACAGAGGTGGGGCTGCACCAGAGGTACAGTGGGCTTGAGGAGAGCCACTCAGCAGGGCATGAACCACTAGAACCAAGGAGATCTCAAAAGTACAGGACCAGGGGATCATAGACCCCCTGTGTTTAAGGCAGACTTGGGACGGGATAGGTGAAAGGGGCCTTCACATTGGTCCTCTTCTGAAACAAAAACGCATTTACATATTTCCTATATAAAATATAACATGGATCTGGAAGTGACCACGGAGAGGAGTGGGTGTGTGTGTGGAATGGAAGTGAGGGGGGCAAAGGAGGAGAGAAGTAGCCCCTCATTTTGGGCTGATGGGTGCCAGACCAAAGGAGAGCCCTGTTCAGGAGGTCAGACCTAGGCAGTCTTGCAGGTGGGTACTGGGTTTGGTACAGACCTTGAACTGGGGGGTGCTTCACACATGGGTCTCCATGAGCTGATCATAGCTGTCGCCTGAGCTGCTCAGATGTGTCCTCTATTATGGGACCTGAGTGGGAAGAACTAGAGATTCTGGCACAGGGGAGATCTTTGCAGCCAGTGTAGTGAGGGTCCAGGGAGGGCAAACCACCAGCTCATTGGGACAGCTCCTTACCAGATGGGAGAAGCCACTCCCAAGTGGCTCAGAAAGATGACTGGCAATTGGTCAAGAGGTGATAGAGGAAGGTGTTCCAGGCAGCAAATGCTAAGGCCCTGAGGTATGACAGAGCCAGATACATTCTGGGAAATGAAAATAAATCAGAACTACAAAGGGAAGAGAGAGGGAGAGGGTGTAGAAACAGACTAAGAAGGGCAGAAAAGGACGTAGAAGTGGCCACTGTCTCGAGGGTCACGAGGAGGTGGGTGAGGTCATTCGAGAGGGGTAAGGAATGGGTTCTGAGGGATGGAGGCCAGGAGAGGCAACTAAACTGGAGAAGGCCCAGCATCAGAGTCTTGCAAAGAAGCTCAGCCGGGGGTCTGGATAGGGTTGGGGAGACTCTGGCCTTCCTTTCTGTCACCCAACCAGCTGGGTGAGTCGTTTCATTTCTCACATTAAAAATCTACTTTGTGCCATGTGCTAGTGGTTGTAATCCTAGATACTCAGAAGGCAGAGATCAGGAGGATCACAGTTCAAAGGTTCGAAGCCTGTAAAATAGTTTGTGAGACTCTGTCCCAAAAATACCCAACATAAAACAGGGCTGGTAGAGTGACTAAAGTGGTAGAATGCCTGCCTAATAAGCATGAAGCCCGGAGTTCAAACCCCAGTGCTGCCAAACACAAAACAAAACAAGTCACTGTGGTGCAGTATGCCTGTACTCTCAGGTACTTGGGAGGCTGAGGCAAGAGAATCCCTTAAGCCTAGGAGTTCCAGACTAGCCTGGGCAACACAGAGAGACCCTGCCTTAAAAAAAAAGTAGTAATTTTTAAAAATCCATTTTCTGCTGTGAATACTGGATGAGATAAACTCAGGGAGGTCAGGTAGTAAGGGTAAGGAAGTTTGGGGAGGTGAAGGGCCAGGCCAGGAACCTGGCACAGGACTCTGAGAGCAAGTAGAGTACAGGATCCAGTCCCCTCCCAGACCCTACCAGGTGCCCAGGTAGAACTGATGGGCACCCCTTACCCCAAATGGTCAGTCACAGCAACAGGGTAAGTGCAGGCACAGGGCTGGGTGGTAGGGTACGTGGGTCTGTGGACCCCCACCTTTCCAAGGAGAGCCTGAGCCAGCCTGCACAGCCGCCTGACGGCTCCGACCTTTCTCCACCCATCTCTGCCACACCAGCCACTTGGGAGAATCATTTCATTTCTCAAATTAAAAATCCATTTTGTGCTGTGAATAATGGATGGATGAGCCCAGGGAGGCTGGGCAGAGGGCAGGAAGTTGATCGTGGCCCAGAAGACACCACAGAACTGCCAGGAGGCAGCAGGCTGGCTGGCCGGCGGGGGTGGTGGGGTGGGGGGTGGGGGAAGCTGGGGCATATTGCAGAGATGACTCCCTGCTCTGACATATTGCAGGGGGCTGGAGTTCTATTCCATGTTGTGCAGGCAAGAGCAAAGCTCAGATGGGTGAGGCTGGCCTGGATTAAGGCTGCAGTCCTCTTTTAGGGTGAGGCACATGGTACCTCACTTGGTGAATGCTTGACATGTGAGTCCTTAGTGTCAACACTGCTGTCCCCAAAGACTGCCAGAAGCCCGGGCTGCCGGGCCCTCCTTCCCTAGAACCCAGCCTCAGTAATGGTCCATCCAGCAGGTTAAGCAGGGTGGCCAGGATCTGCCTTTGGTCAGGGTGGGGATTGAGGGCTGGGTCCCCCAGCAGCTTGCCATCTCCCCCTTTCCCCCTGCCATATCTTCTATTTCTACAACAACCCTGGTTGCTGCCTCCCTCCACCCCAAGCTGGGGACCCAGTTACCTCAGGGCTTGTTGGCTGGGCATAGCTGGGCTCAGCTGTGTCATGTCATTCTCTTGCTCATTAGTCATGGGGTCACCTTGACATTTGTGGGAGGAGCTCTGGAAATCTCAGAGTGTGAGAGCTGAAGGTCAGACTCCAACAGACATTTATTCACCCAGTCCTCATTTTCTCTTTCTGAGAAGAGGCAGGACAGTGAAGGTGGTGGTCTCCGGCCCCTCTTTTTATGGGCAGACTGGGTAGAGGTAACTAAGACTGAGTGGTTAGAAGACCCAATCCTGAGCCAATTCCAGTTGGCCCTGGCTGCTGCGCTCAGCGCTGGGGTCAGTCTGGGGGAGCCTCATGGGGCTGAGTGTAGGAATGAGACTGAGCAGAGCAGGTAGACAGGATGGAGCAAGCCAGGCTGGGCTGCCTGGCTGGAGTCAGGAGGCAGATGGACAGATCAATGGCAGCTGAGTGTGACCAGAAGGGGAGTCAAAAGCTGACCTGGGAGGGAGGGAGGGGTAGAGAGAAGAAGCTGATAGCCTGGGTCCCCTGTCCTCCAGTGGCTGGAGTAGAGTCCCTGGGGAAGCATATTTGCCTCTGTGCCTTGCTATTGGAGGAGAGTCGGCTTCCTGAGACAATATCCATTTTTATATTTCTTGGAAATTTCGCGGCATTCATTTCGGGGAAAATAAAAGCTGTCATTGCTGGAGAAATGATACCAATCAGGGCCTGAAAAGGCTGGAAAATTATCCTCCTGAAGACAGAATGTTGAGGGGAAAATGCAGATTAAAAGCACAAAGAGCCACTCTGCCACCGCCCTGCCCTCCCTTCCCCTCCCCCTCATGGAACCACCACGTTTTGCGTAATTCCATCTTCCCTCTGTAGAATTAATTGGATCTGAGAACAACGCATGGGGCAGAGGAGGACCCTGGGATGGCCAGAGCCAGAGGCAGAATATCCAGAGTAGGGACTTAGGGATGGAGAGATGGACAGCCACCAGTGGTCCAGAAGCTGATTTATGAGCAGCCCTGGGAGAGGAGCACAGGATAGTGGGCCAATCCTTGCCCATCTTGTCATGCTTTTATCAGATGGGACTCCATGGCTGTTTTAAACATTGCTTAGGCCAGTTCTGCAGGCAGGAGTCCTAAGACTTGGGTGTGCTGGTGATTTGTGTGGGTCCCTGGTGAGGGGCAATAGAGGGAGAAGAGGTGGGAAGAGCCAGTCAGAGAAAGCAGAGACTCCAGAAACGGTATCATTCGTCCAGGAAGCCCCTAGTTATCAGTATTGCATGTGGGCTAGGCCCTTGTGGGTGCAGTGAGGAGGCAGGCAGAAATAGGCACTCTCCCGGCAGGAGAGAGGTCCTCCGTTGAAAATGCGAGTCTACCTGGAGGAAGAGGGTGAGTGGATAAATTCACCTTACCCAGCCTCAAACCGAGGTCTTGAGATTCGGGATCTGTCCGAGGTCTGAGGCTGCTGGCAGAGGGACAGGCTCTTCTCCCTCCATGTCTGCACCATTCCTTTCTAGGCCTTTTCTCCCTACCTGGGCCAGGGCCAACCAAGGTTGGGGAGGTTGGTAGTCGCAGCCTCAGTCTCTTCTTGCAGGTTCCCCACTGGGGGCTGGATGAAGGGAGCTCGGCCAACCAGAGCCCCAGACGTGGGCTGCTGTGGGCAGGAGTTAAAAGGAAAAGGATAAGGAAGTCTCGGTATTAAAGGCTGCTCTGTGCCAGGCACTGTGCAGGGCGGATACAGGCTCTCCATCCGTGCCTCCCCACAGCCCTACCGAGTCCTCCCTGGGCTGAGCTCGTCTGGGACGGCCCACGCGCCTCCTGATCTCCAGCTTCAGCCCCTTTCGGGTGGGCTGGTAGGCGGCGCGGCTCTGAGTGAAGGCACCGCATCAGAAGGGACCCTTCTTGCGGGAGCAGCAGCTACACTCACTCCTCCCGGGACGGAGCCCAAAGCTGGTGCACAACCCTCAGGAGAGTGTCTTCACGGCCGCGATCCCCACCTCCGCGCTGCCGCCGAGCTGACAGGTAGCCAGGAGGGAAGCAGGAAGGAGGGGGCGCGCAGGGCGGGCGGAGGAGGGTGGAGCCGCCGGCGCGCCCCCTCCCTCGGGGCCGGCGGGCGGCGCGGCGCGGCAGGCTCGGCGCGGCAGCAGAGGAGGCGGCAGGCGCACGGAGAGAGCGGCCGCCCGCCCCGCTCCGCTCGGTTCCGGCTCAGGGCCGACCCATCGGTGCTCGCCCGGCAAAGGCGCGCACCTGCCGGGTAAGTGGCGCTCGAGTCCGCTGCCGCCGCGGCCACCATTGCAGCCACTTTCACAGCCACCGTGGCCGCTGCGCTGAGCCTCGCGGCTTTGTCTGCGTCCTCCCGGCTCTGGCTCCAGCTGCGGCTGCGGCTGTGACTCCGGAACTTGGTTCCCCGGATCCGCTGACTGCGCGGCACGGCGCAGAAGGCTCTGAGCCCGGGGCTCCAAAGGCGCTGGGGGTGAAACTTCCGACTAAGTTTGGGTTCTGGGGAGAACCTGTTGAAGTCGGGAGTAGACCGGGGTGGGGACGGATGGCAGAGGATGAAACCTATCTCAGGTTGTTCCTCAAGGCCGTCGGGGGAGGAGGAATGTCTCCCAGATCTTGGAATGGAGGTTGCCTTTTGGGGGAAGAACGTGGTGGGCATTTGGGCCACCGAGGAGGAGCCAGAGACCATGCTAGGAGGAGTGGTTTTGCGGAATTCTGCGAGGACAAAGTTTGGTTCTTTGGTGGTTTTCTTGAGTGTCCTTGTCTGAAGTGACAGAGAGCTGAAGCTCTCTTCAAAACAGAGCTGAAGGCAGTTTCAGGGTCCGCATAGATGCGCCCCTGGCCACACCTCCTTTCTCCAGTCTCCGCTATCCTCCTCCCTCGCCTGGCCTTGGCTGAAGCAGCTTTTGGACAGAAAAAGCAAAGGCAAGAGCAATAGTCTGCCAATGAAGTCCTACTGTGTGCCAGGCCACGTACCCAGACCCCTCTTGCCTTCTGCCAGGGGCCCTTCAAGTCCGCAAGGCGGTGTGCAGGAGATGGAGGAGAGGAGGGAGGCAGGTTAAAAGACTCCACTGTGCATGCAAAAGGTGGTGGTCACTTTGAGCTCTCCTCTACCCTCCTCCCAGGGTGGCAAAGAGAGGCCAGGCCCCAAGGGTTTTGGACCCGAAGGCCTCCAGCTTCTGGAACTAGGCCTCTGCCGGGCCTCACCCTGGATTCCTTCTGGATGCAGAGCCATTCAGAACCTGTCTCTGTCCTTCCCGCAGCTGTGGACCTGGGGACATGCACAGGCCAGCAAGGAGGCCCGCCGCCTCCCCAAGCATCATCCTGTAGGGGACCAAGTTAGCCAAGGCTTGTGCAGCGTTGACCTCCGCGCCATGGAGGCCCCATATTCTATGACTGCACACTACGACGAGTTCCAGGAGGTCAAGTACGTGAGCCGGTGTGGCGCGGGGGGCGCGCGCGGGGCTTCGCTGCCTCCGGGCTTCCCGCGGGGTGCAGGGCGCAGCGCAGGCGGGGCGCGGGCCGGGCTGCCCCGCTGGAACCGGCGCGAGGTGTGCCTGCTGTCGGGGCTGGTGTTCGCCGCCGGCCTGTGCGCCATCCTGGCCGCCATGCTGGCGCTCAAGTACCTGGGCCCAGGCTCAGCGGGCGGCGGCGGCTCCTGTCCCGAGGGCTGCCCCGAGCGCAAGGCCTTCGCGCGCGCCGCCCGCTTCCTGGCCGCCAACCTGGACGCCAGCATCGACCCGTGCCAGGACTTCTACTCGTTTGCGTGCGGCGGCTGGCTGCGACGCCACGCCATCCCCGACGACAAGCTCACCTATGGCACCATCGCGGCCATCGGCGAGCAGAACGAGGAGCGCCTGCGGCGCCTGCTGGCGCGGCCCCAGGGAGGCCCGGGCGGCTCGGCGCAGCGCAAGGTGCGCGCCTTCTTCCGCTCGTGCCTCGACATGCGCGAGATCGAGCGGCTCGGGCCGCGGCCCATGCTCGAGGTCATCGAGGACTGCGGGGGCTGGGACCTGGGCGGCGCGGCCGAGCGCCCGGGGACGGCGGCACGCTGGGACCTCAACCGGCTGCTGTACAAGGCGCAGGGCGTGTACAGCGCGGCCGCGCTCTTCTCGCTCACCGTCAGCCTGGACGACAGGAACTCCTCGCGCTACGTCATCCGCGTGAGTGTCCCCGCACCTCGCCGGGGGCGGGGGACCCTGGGCGCTGCGAGGAGCAGGCGTGTCCCCGCGGCCCTGAAGCCGGGGCGCGTGTCCAGGGCAGCGACAGCAGCTGATGGCGAGCCGGCAGGAGCCGGCGGGAGAAGGGCGCAAGTCATTGCCCGGGAGGAAGTGCAGTGTTTAGTGGAGCGGCGGGAGCCACAGTTCCCAGCCCTCCCGCGGGCTGTGGGAGCAGTGAGGGACCAGGCAAGGGCAGGCCAAGAATGCCAGGGACCCCCAACTCCCAGTGCACGGGCCCGCGCATGTCCCCACAAGTAGGCAAAGGGAAGGGGTAGGCAGTGGCCTCTGCCTTGAGTCTCCAGGCTGGGCCTGGGGGGCTGGGACTCTGACCAGCTGCCCTGCGTGCAGGAAGAGGCTACTGTCTGTGTGATGCTGGGGCTTGTGACAGTGGATGTCTGGCAGGTCCTCACTGTTTTGGCATTGGGGTGGGAAGTCTGTCTGGAGAAGCTGACACACTGACCTCTGACCTGGAATCCCTGCCTTCCTCTCCAGATTGACCAGGATGGGCTCACCCTGCCAGAGAGGACCCTGTACCTAGCTCAGGATGAGGAGAATGAAAAGGTGCCTGAGTGTGGGATGGACCGCAGGGAAGGCTGGGGCCCCAGCAGGGATGGTCCCTGGCTAGGTCTGTCCCCCTCTTGAGGACAGCCCCTGTCCTGGCTCAGATCCTGGCGGCATACAGGGTGTTCATGGAGCGTCTGCTCAGCCTTTTGGGAGCCGATGCTGTGGAGCAGAAGGCCCAGGAGATCCTGCAGCTGGAGCAGCGGCTTGCCAACGTAAGCCATGGGACTGGGGACTGCCCCATCCTGGGTGAGGGCAAGGGGCACAACTGAGTCCACTGTGCTCTCCACCCCAGATCACAGTGTCAGAGTATGATGACCTCCGGCGAGACGTGAGCTCCATGTACCATAAAGTGACCCTGGGGCAGCTACAGAAGCTCACCCCCCATGTGAGTGTGATTCAGATCTGGAGGGCAGGTGATTGGGAAGCATGCTGGGATTCGAAGGTCATTATCCCCGGGTGTTTCGTGCACCTGGGTCCCTAATGCTCTCCTTGCCCTCCCTGAACTCTCCCTGTCCTCTGTGGTTCCTGCCCTGGGCCCACAGCTGCGGTGGAAGTGGCTGCTGGACCAGATCTTCCAGGAGGACTTCTCAGAGGATGAGGAGGTGGTGCTGCTGGCCACAGACTACATGCAGCAGGTGTCCCAACTCATCAGGTCAACCCCCCACAGGTGCGACTGCAGGTCATCCACCACTGCTATCCCTGCTCCTTGCCTCAGTACCCCCCCGGCCCTATCTACTTGATGACCTTTGAATGGTCACACGGAAGGCATATGGGGGGAGGCAAGTGGGGTACTGGAGTAGAAGTCTAGATCTCAGGTTCAGAGGCTGGCGCTCCATCCTGCCCCATGTGATCCTGGGCCGTCTGAGGCATCCCCGTAAGGATGGGGAGGCTGAGTGAATGGCTCCCAGGGAAGGTGTGGCCCAGGCTGTTCTATCCCAGGACCACTCATGGGTGCCAAGTTTGAATCAGGAATCTGGCCAGTCTCCCACCACATAGAAAGGGGGGACGGTGTCGATCCATTCATTGATTGGTCAGAGGCTCTGTGACTGGGACTCAGGATCTTTCAGGTTGTGGTTCTGCTTACCTGGATTGACCTCTCACCCCTTGTTATTTGGGCATGGTGGGTACCGGGTCCCAGCCCAGCATGAGAGCATGCTGGTGGGGCAGGCCTCGTGTAGTCTTCCTGCATGGCTCCTTGACAACGCCCTGCTTCACCTGTCCCCCAGGATCCTGCACAACTACTTGGTGTGGCGTGTGGTGGTGGTCCTGAGTGAGCACTTGTCACCACCATTCCGTGAGGCACTGCATGAGTTGGCCCGTGAGATGGAGGGCAGTGACAAGCCCCAGGAGCTGGCCCGAGTCTGCCTGGGCCAGGCCAACCGCCACTTTGGCATGGCTCTTGGTGCCCTGTTTGTACATGAGCACTTCTCAGCTGCCAGCAAAGCCAAGGTCAGGCTGCCCTGGGTGCAGCATGGGGGTCAAGTGTTGAACTTGCTATAGAGAATTGGAGGCCCCTTACATCTCCCCTGTAACTTGGGCCCCAGACTCAGTTTAGGGCTTAACTGTGTCTTAGGCTCCAGGATACTCCTCATCAGACTTCTTTCCCCAGAAGACTAAGCGTTGTCATCTGCAGGTGCTCTTCTCTGCTATGCCCCTGCCTGCCCTTCTTAGCCACACTCAGGAGGCATGGCCATAGGAATGTACAGAACTGTTGTGGGTCAGTTTCCTCCTTCCAGCTTGGATCTTATTGTCATGGAGCTGGTGCTCCCCACTGTGGGTCCCCCTACCTCTATGATGTCTCGCTGGTGCTCTGAGCCTATGAAGTGGTACCAGGTGATAGGAATACCCTAGTTGCTAGGTGCTGGGACCAGATCTTAAGCCTTCATGGTTTACCCTTGACTTGCCCGGCCCATGACCTGGTAGGTGCAGCAGCTGGTGGAAGATATCAAGTACATTTTGGGCCAGCGTCTGGAGGAACTGGATTGGATGGACGCCCAGACCAAGGCAGCAGCTCGGGCCAAGGTGAGATGGAACCTGAGTCCCAATTGTGGGTTCATAAACATTTTTGAGTACCTACTGAGTGCCAGGCACTGGGGATAACAAGAGTGAATAAAAGAGACAAAGATGCCTTTGTGGAATGACATCCTGGCAAATTCTGCTCTATGGTCACTGGAACCCCCAAGCTGGCCTAGTGCTTTCTCCCTTGGTGGTGAGGGGGCTGTCTTCAGAGGACCTGGGCCACTCCCCCTACCCTCTTACCCACAGCTCCAGTACATGATGGTCATGGTCGGCTACCCAGACTTCTTGCTTAAACCCGAGGCCGTGGACAAGGAATATGAGGTAGCCCCCGTCTGGCCCGGACCCGTGGAAGTCCGCCCCCAGACACAGCGGGAATCACAGCTTTTTGGCTAATGGCTTGGCCCTGCCCTGGCCCAATGCTGAACTCTGCTCATCCCTCATGCAGTTTGAGGTCCATGAGAAGACCTACTTCAAGAACATCTTGAACAGCATCCGCTTTAGCATTCAGCTCTCTGTTAAGAAGATTCGACAGGAAGTGGACAAGTCCACGTGGGTGCCTGGCCCCAAGCTGGGGGTTGGGGAAGGACCGCGTGGGAGAGGGCCCCTTCCCAAGACCAGGGGTGGGGTAAACCACTTCAAAGCCTTATGTGTGGGGTGCATGGACCTGTGAAGGCCATTGGGATGGGATCAGCAGGGTGGTGGCCCAGAGGCCACACTGTCAGAAGCTTCCTGTGGCTGGACCATCAGCATTGCCTTCAAAAAGGCTTGGGGGCTGGATGAGGTGGTTCACGCCTGTCATCCCAGCTATGCGGGAGGCATAAATAGGAGAATCAAGGCCTATTTTTGCGGGCTTGGGCAAAAATATGAGACCCTATTCAAAAAATAACTAAAGCAAAAAGGGCTGGGGACATGGCTCAAGTGGTAGAGTGCCTGCCTAGCAAGTGTGAGTTCAAACACCAGTACTGATTTAAAAAAAGCTAAGATGTGAGAGTCATCCAGGCAGTGTGTGACTCCACTGCTGACTGCAGCTTCCCTCCACAGATGGCTGCTCCCCCCACAGGCACTCAATGCCTACTATCTACCCAATAAGAACCAAATGGGTAAGGAGGTGTGTGCTGACAGGGGGAGGGCCTGAAAATGGTTTATGTCCTTCTGACCACACTCTTCCCTTAGTGTTCCCAGCTGGTATCCTGCAGCCCACACTGTATGATCCTGATTTCCCACAGTAAGTAGATGTGATTGAGGGGTGAGGCCAGGCTCATAGGCCTTGTCTGCAGATTGGGGCAGGGGAGTTTTACTGTTCCCCAGCTGGGCTGAGTCCCCACAGTTCTACTTCATCCTTGGTTATTTAGAATTTGTAGATCTTTTTTTTTTTTAACTTCCTGGGTGCCCCCCCACCAGCCGTTTTGCGCTTTTATAGAAGTGAAGGAACCTGTGTGGGGGTGTGGGGGGTACTCTAGTGATGAAGAAGGAGACCAAATCCCCATGCAGTTACCTCAGTTTCCTTTGTCTCCTGTCTCACAGCCCCCACACCTTTGTTAGATGTTGTTTTCTAAGAGGCACTGGACAGGGAGCATTGAGTTTTTTTCTCCTAGCCCATGAGGAAGCTGAGGGATGTCTGCCCAGGATCTTATAGATATTTGTGTCGCCTTCATGGCCACCTCTTTGCCTGGATGATGGCCTTCAGGGACATGGAAGCATGGGGATCTCAGAGGGCAGACAAGGCTGGGGCCTGATGCTGCTGCTGTGGTCCAGGTCTCTGAACTACGGGGGCATTGGCACCATCATCGGGCATGAGCTGACCCATGGCTACGATGACTGGGGTGAGGCCTTTTGGAGCCTGAGAGAGTGGCCGGGGGAGGGGGAGCACAGGCAGTGGGAAGCTGGTGGATGATGGGATGATTGGGGCTGGCAAGGGGAGAGCAGGGGCTCCATGTCTAGCCTGGCTCTGGGATGAGGCTCAGTCTCAGCCTGCTGACCCACTGCCCACAGGGGGCCAGTATGACCGCTCTGGGAACCTGCTGCACTGGTGGACAGAAGCCTCCTACAGCCGCTTCCTACGAAAGGCTGAGTGCATTGTCCGCCTCTACGACAACTTCACTGTCTACAACCAGCGGGTGAGACCCCCCTCCACCCCTGTCTTTCATGCCCTTTCATCCTGGACTGGGAGTGCGCATACTTGTGTGCACTCACACAGGCATTAGTGAGTTCACACAGAATCACACTATACACGTGTGTGGTGGGAGGAGAAGGCTTTTCTAAAAGTCTCTTGGAATGGAGAGGGTGGTTGGGGTTAGGGGCAGAGGCCCAGGGTAGCCAGGTCTGCACAAGGCCCCATGTAGCTCCTGCCTCTTCCCTTCTGGCAGGTAAATGGGAAGCACACGCTTGGTGAGAACATCGCAGACATGGGCGGCCTCAAGCTGGCCTACTATGTGAGCCATTCTGCCTACCCTCTGTCCCTGCTGGGGGATGGGTGGGAGCTGATGAGGAGCCCGACTAGAGACACAGAAGTTCCTCCTTCCTCATCTTGCTGAGTTCTGGCCTGGACAGGGGCAGGGTTTGTGCCTGGCACAGGGTCCACTGGGAAAAAGAGGCACAGACCCTCTCTTCACAGGAGAGCAGGGAGGGCCGTCTGGAGGGTTGGCGCTGGCATGTGGTCAGCCTGCCAAGTACAGTGCAACGGAGGGTGACCAGGCTGGGAGCACAGCGTGGTGGGTGATGTCCAAAACTGGATGGGTAAGGAAGGGGCTGGCCTCCTGAGCTTAGCATCCTGGGGAGGAGCTGACTGGCTGGAGGGTGGAGGAGGGGCAGTGTCCAGAGCAAGTGGGCATAGCCGTTCCCCACTCTGTGTACCCCCAGGCCTATCAGAAGTGGGTGAGGGAGCACGGCCCTGAGCACCCTCTGCACCGCCTCAAGTACACACACAACCAGCTCTTCTTCATTGCCTTTGCCCAGGTGGGTCAGGTGGGGGGCCAGGTAGGGGTCAGGGCTGGGGAAACAGCAAACAGGATCAGTCCCAGTCATGCCTTGCTAGGTCTTGAGTGACCATCCCTGGAATCCAGCTTGTCTCCCATCACTCCTCAGAGGTGATGGCCCTAGGGATTCTGATGGAGACCTTAAGTCCTGTCGTGGAAGATGAAGGTAGACAGTAGATGCCTGCCTCCATCTCCCCCTCTCTTCTCCTCTACCCACTCGGGGGCCTAGAATTGGTGCATCAAGCGGAGGTCGCAGTCCATCTACCTGCAGGTGCTGACTGACAAGCACGCACCTGAGCACTACCGGTATGCCCCACCGCCTGCCTGGGCCCCATCCCCTCCCTGTGTATGAGGTGGGAGCAGGAGTGGGGGTGGGAGCTACCATTGGGACCCACACCATCAGGGTCTCTCCCCACACCCCAGGGTGCTGGGCAGTGTGTCCCAGTTCGAGGAGTTTGGCCGGGCCTTCCACTGTCCCAAGGATTCACCCATGAACCCGGCCCACAAGTGCTCTGTGTGGTGAGCCTGGCCACCCACTGCCTGCCTGCACGCCTCCACTGCCCCGCACGAATCACCTCCTGTCAGCTGCTGGGACAGGCATGCGCCCATGCTGCCCTGCGCCAGGCCTTCCCAGCTTCTCTGGGACTTCCCTCCTGTTCCCTGCAGTCCCTCACTTCAGAAGGGTGGAGCAGGGGTGGAGTTGGGTTCCAGGGGCTTGTGAGGGGAGAGCTGAGGTGCCCAGATTCATTTCTAGAGAGCCAGATCCCTGGCCCAGATGGATTGTACAGGCCCCACCTCTACTGTGTTCTTACTGAAAAGTCTGGTTAATAAAGCTGCTGTATTGTCACCTTGGCCTCCTCAAGTCTGAGTGTAAGCTCAGGCTCACTCTCAAGTGGGACCCTGGCGAAGACCTTCTTGTTCCCTCTGGTTGCACTAGCTTGGCAGCGTCTGTCCCACCTCCCTGGGCTCTTTTGTCCTCTCTACTAACCACTACATTCCCCCCGGCCAGTCCTCTGTCCCTTTTATTTCTGCCTGGGGCTTCTGCCAGTATGGGACACTTGAAGACCAGTCTTGTGGCCTGTTGATCAGCATTTTGGGGTGATGTGGGGACTTTCTGGCAGTGGAAAGCAGGAGACGCTTCTGCAGTGTCTTAGCCAAACCTTGGCATCAGTCAGCTTCTTCTCTGGGAAAGGGGTCCATGGCCCCCAGTTCAGGAGAGGCAGGCTTCTGCAGTTGGAGCTGGGGCTCCTGGAGAGGTAAGGAAAGGAGTGGGAGGGAGCTGGAAGAAGGGCTTCAGGTGTGGCCAGGAGTGGAAGGGAAGCAGGAACTGCTGCCCACCCAACACCGACAGTGGATCAACAGTGGCAGGGACCATCCTCATATTGAGCAACAGATTCCCGATGTCTTCAGAGATAGGGGCCTTTGGGCACCTGTTCTTCCCAGGCCCGTTTTCTTATATCTGGGGTCCTGTCCCCATCTCATAGTACAGCAATGAGTCTTCAACCAGTCCAGTTCTTGTCACCATGCTCAGAGAACATCTGACCAGTGTCACCCAGCCTTGAGTGATGTTTAAGAAGTCTCTGTTATCTGAGCCTTGGGTAAACCAGTGTGTGGCCCTGAGGAGGGAGTCAGAATCAAGAAGGACCCCTCAGGAGTGGCCAGTCAATGAAGGGTTAGAGGCTGTTCCTCCCAGTATACTGGTGGTCACACAGGGATCCTATGGTTCCGGAGGAACTGCAGAGGGTATACCACTAAGTCCTGGGCACAGAGCCTAGCTCAGAGCTGCCTGTCCCCTGGCATACTCCATGGAGGTGGGCCTGCAGGGGGATCTGGGCCCCATGGAGGTACTGCATTTCTGGACCATCCTTCTGGGTTGGGCAGACATACATACCATGTCTCTCAGGCAGTTGAGACAGAAGGATAGCTCTCTCCCTGCCTTGACCTGCCACCTACCTGTTGGTCCTGGTGTCTGAAACCCTGCACACCCCAGCCATATCCCATCTCTCTGGCCTGGGATCCTGGTTGGCACTGGGCTTCAGGCCCAGTCCTTTTGCGCCTGTCCTGAGTTTCCTAGCTCCACCCAAGACCAATTCCTTCAGTTTCTGTGTCCCTTAAGGGGCGGCCTCAGGCCAGCAGACCTGTGGGAATCCTCCAGCAAGATGCACAGGATCTGTGCATCTTGTCTTGCATAGGGAATGAAATGCAGTGAGTCCAGGTCACTACTGGGGCTGAGCCCCTTCCCCTCCGTCTGTATCCTGCTGTAGACTTCATGAATTTCTTGACCCTGAGGCTGCTTTGAAGCAGGTGACCTAAGGCTGTGTGATCATGTGTCACCCAAACTGCTCTTCCAGACAGGCCCTAGGAGCACCCTCACTGCCACCCAGTGAGATGGACAGAGTACTAGGTCACCCCACTGGTGTGTGGAGATGGCCATGCCTTGGTTTCTGAGTTCCCTTAAACTTGAGTATTCACACCAAACTCAGTGTAGGCTGGTAGGTGTTCTGTTAGGAAGTCACACATGTAGCACAAACCATGGTCATGTCTTTATCTGCTGGGTCCTGTGCTCAGCGCCTCGTTGGGGATTGGCTGATTGACTAGTTCACCAGGGTGGAGGGTGAACTAGCTCAGCTGCTGAAATCTGGCCTCAGTTTCCCTTGTGTTTGGTGAGGGGTTAGCAGTGCAGCTCTAAAAGCCATTCCCAGTGTCGACGTGATTCTAGAAGCACCAAGGGGCGGGTTGTGGTGGAACTCGCTCCATCCATGAGCTCACCCACGCGGCAGGCGTCCTCAGAGCAGCTCATTGGAATGACAGAAAGCAATCTTCCGCTAAGCATTTAATAGCAGGGAAATAAAGGAGCTGGGATGCTTATAACAGCGCTGAGCTTCCAGGCATCCACCTGCATGCCCACGTGCCGGGAGCCTCACCGCTCCCACCTCCACCTTCCTCAGAGACTGGCTGGACCTCTGCACAGAATCTGCTTCTACCACCCACAGTTTTGTAGCTGGGCTTCAAGTCTAGAGATTATTGCTGGGTGACCTCAGCGAGGCAGTCACATTCTCTGTGCCCAGAACTGTCATCAGCATAGGAGTGGCAAAGGGTGCACCAGCTTATAGCCGCCTGCAATGATGGAGCTACATGAGTGTCCCTCCTCCCTCCCCAGAGCCCCATAGCCACACTGTCCATAGTCCCCCTCAGCCCCACCCCGACTCATCCCTGACTCAGGGTCCTCAAAGTCAAGGGTGCAGGGGATGCCCCTCAGCGTGGGCTACATCTCCACACACTAGGGAGGATTTGAAACTAGCTGCAAATATGGCTCAGGAGGGGCTAGCAGTGAAGGTGGGTGGACCCAACTCTAGGTCAGTGGCCCTGGGAGTTCTGGAGCACCCAGGAGCAGCACAGGGTGTCTGGTACCACTGAGTACCAGGCTTCTCTAACCTGTTAAGTGAGTTAGAATTCTATGTCTGGGACCGGGTGCTATCTCAGACTTGCTGAAGGTTTGGGATGCTGAGGCAGCACAGCCAATCCAGCTGCTGAGGTCTGCTCTCTTTCTCTCTCTCTCTTGCTTCTGGGATCTTCACCCTTCTCCTAAGCTGGTTTATTGATTATAAGATTATTAAAAAGAACAAATTTCCCTTTCTTGGGTGGGGTCCAGAATTGTCCAGATGCTAAGCAGTGTCTATGCATGCCCCCCGCCCCCGCCGCCATTGTCTTCTTAGCCCCCACCCCCACCCCCATTGTGAGGCCAGGGCGAGGCAGTATTGCAGAGTCCAGCCTCCCTGCTTTCATCCTCATGTACCAATGAGACTGTGGAGGAAAGATTTATTTTTACAGATATGAATTACTTTGTCTCCCACCCCTTAAAAGGCAGAAGAGATGACAACTGGGTTTTTTTTTTTTAATTAGCATTTTCTCCTTTCTTACTCCCATTGAGAGATGTGCAGGCACTTCCAGCATCTCCCCCAGACCACAGGAGCTATGAAGGGGCTTCTTGACAAACCAGGACCCTCTCAGCTTTGGAGTTAGTTAGTTAGTCAGCCCTCCAGGCCTAGGTCACTGCACAATGACTGATCTGCAGGAGGCGGAGTAGTTCATGGAGAAACATACAAGCCACCATTCATGCTATTTATAATTTCTTCATATGCCTCTAGAAGATTTCAGGACAATGAAAAACTAAGCCCATCCTCCCGAGGGAAGTCCTTGCTCCGTAAGCTCACTTGTCATTGCATTTTGGAGTCCACAGATTTGGACGCCACATAACCGACTGAGACCTTGGCAGTCATGTAGAGAATGCTCCTCTTCTCTGCAGCATCTTTAGGCAGCAGTTCAGCCTTGCCTGGAAAATCACCACAAGCAGGAACAAAAGGAGCACGGACTCCTGGTTCCCAAAGCCCCTTTCCTTTGGGAAAATAATTGTGCCCTGGCCTGGCCTTTCCTGCAGAGTCTACAATAAGCTGGAACCCATACCCTGTGTCCTGCTGAGGGCCTCCACCCCCACCACCGTGACTCCCCCTCCTCTAGTCTAAGGCAAGCCACAGCCTCCTGTTCATATGACCTCTGGGCTCCTTCCCCCAGCCTGGGGTGAGGGTTCTCAGCTTTTGCTTGTTTGCACATGCTCCACTAGATAGGATCCCCATTCTCTGCTACCAGTTGTTCCTCACTTTAACCCAGGTCACTAGCTCAGGTCACCCTTCGCCTCACGATGTGCCGTGCCATAGCAAAAATAAACCAACTCAATTGATCACAGTGAATGCCTCTTCCTGACCACCTTCCTCACACCCCAGTGCAAGGTTCAAGGTGCCCATGGGATGCAAGGAGCACTGGCTTCATTCCTAAGCCAGCCAAAGTCCAGCATGAGCTCATCTGGTTGGAAGGCACAGCAGGCGCCAGGCTTCCCTAACCTTGGCTGCTGCCTAGAATCCAGGAGCCTCTGGCAGCCGCTCATAGCTGATTCATGGGGCCAGCAGGCAGCTCAAATCCCCAAGCCGCTGTCACATGGTGCTGTTAAACAGCATCTCTCCTTGTCTATACTTTGCATAAATAATAAAAAAATAAAACTCCCATCTTCCCGTGGGACCAAATGCTCGCAGGGGCCGCTGTCAGGATCTGCGTGGCGAGGTCTGAAGGCCGCTCTTTGGGGAGCATCTTCCTCTCACCTGAGGAGTCCCTGCAGGGTGGAGAGGGAGTGGGGATGTCATGCTGGCTGATAATGACAATTTACAAGTCCAGCGAGTCAAGAAAGGGTCAGAACAGGACACAAGGGCCTGGAAGTCTCCCCTTTAAAAGGGGTAGGCAGTGGCCTGGCCATTTGGTACAGGGGGAAGCTATTTTTCTCTTTGGGAGCAGCTCAGGAGCTACAAGGCTGGTTCCTAGGCTCTGTGCCAAGTGCACCATCAAAGACTGGCTTCCCAGTGGGCAAGGTTATATCAAGGGGAACTTCCAGCTGCTTGTCGCTGCTGCGGTCTGTTGTGTGCACTGCTAGCAAGTGTGGAAGCTCCAGGCAGCAGGAGTAAGTAGGCCCTGGGGCCACCTTATATCAGAGGGGTGATTGCAAACTCTGTGCAGCCTCCTACAGGCCCCTGGAGGCCCCAGAGGTTGGATTCTGCAGAGGCTTCCTTGAAGGGTGATTGCTTGTTGTGCAGATGCTAATGGGGTGGGGGGAACACCTGTTTTGGGGACCAGCGGGGGCAACATCAGCATCAAGGTCAGGAGGAGGGCACACCTGACACCTGCCTTCGTCCTCCTGAGAAACTGAATGGCAGTGTGCCTGTTTCTACCCATTAGGCCCTCCCCGTGTCAGTCACCAGAGCTGTGCAGGAGCAGGGGTAGGGGCTT